TGTTTTGGACCATGGCGCTTCCCTTCGCCATCTGCTGCGTTTGTTACGGGTGGCTGTACTGGACGTATCCTAAGGATCGGGATAACGTTCGGGCTGAGTCTGCTGCTGAGGCTCGGGAAGAGGAGACGAGGTTGGGTGGAGGCGGTGAGGAGGGAGGAGAGGGGAGGTGCTGACCTGAGAAGCTTGTGTATATGATTCATGTTTTTTCTAGCATGTACCGTCGGCAGGGCTCCCGTTATCAGACCAAATCAGTCTGATGGTCTGAAAATCAGACTGGGTTTTTATGTTTCATCTGATTTTTTGACAAGCCAAATATATTCGTCTGATTGTTCAGACAAGATATAAGAATTCGTCTGAAACATCAGACTAGGTGTACACATTCATCTGATTTATCAGACCGGCCGTTTTTTTCCGTCTGATACCGACAAATCCGCCCTTCTAGCAGCAGGGCCACTAGTCCACATGCCCAATGGGCCACTGCCTACCACCCAGTCCCATGTGCACTGCAGCATGCGCATTCAATTCTACCCCGAGCGCGGCAGCAAAACAGTCCAGCGCACATAAATTTACAGCTTGCTGACGCAAGCTGCTGCCACGCCATTGTCTTGTTACGGGCACCGTCGCTGCCAGCCTGGTACCAGGCAAGCAGCGCTGGTCAGCAATGTGCCAGCGCATTTCCCGATGAAACCGCAAGCCACCCTCATCGTGCCATCACGACGAGGGTTTCGTATTGAATCTGCAACCCCAAGCCGCTCTTCTTCGAGCCGCCATGGTCTACAATCAGCCCACAGAACCTCAGACCACCACGTCTCAGAGAACCACTCCCTGCAGCCATGAGTGCTCTCTCTGGTGTCCTCGTCCTTCCCTCGTCCTAGTGCTTCATTCTTGGCTGGCTCTCCCACCTAGTTCCTGCTCATATCGTGGCCTTAGAGTAGGTTAATGCTAACCCTCCTAAAGATGCCGCACCATCGACGGTTACGGGGCTAGACCTGCTTCGGTTCCGACTAGTCATCAAGAGGCTAGTCCTAGTACGAGTAACAAGCATGAGTTGAGTTCTCCACCCTCGGCTCGCTCTCTCGCCGCTAGTCCGCCTCCCGCCGCTAGTCCGCAGCGCGTGCACAATCGCGTAGCCTGTCTCCTGCCCCCTGCTCGCCCGTGCTTAGTCCTCCCCCTACATTGGCTCCTCTGAGCCCACTGCCTCCGTTGGACACGGAGCCATGCATCATCTTTGGTGCTGAAGGCTCCGAGCTCGACTCTGCTACTAGGCCTTCCTGTCCTTCATCACCTACAAGGCAAACCGTTATGTCGTCCTTTCGCCATGCGTCTTTGGAGGGCCCGTCTTGCCTGCCCGCAAGCCAGACAAGGCGAAGTACATCCAGCGCAAACTCAGCTTCGGTCGGCATGCCGGCGCCTCCACTGCGGTTAATCCTATTCAGCTCGGCAGCAGCAGCGGCGATCCTGGTCCCAGCTCCCCGCCGTCCGACGACGGGCCATTCTTCCTGACAGTGGAGGAGCTCCAAATCAAAGCGAGGGAGCAGTGGTTACGCCACTTTCCATGGTTGGTGATTTCCGAGACGAAGGAGGGTTGCCCCTGCATGAAGTGCAGCGTCTGCATGGCGTTTGGCAACGACCCCGACTATCAGTATGGCCGCAACGGTGAGGGCGGCATCGACATTCAGAAGCAAACAATGCGTAAGCATCATCACAGTCTGAAGCATGAGGCTGCCGTGACAAAGAAACTGCAACGCGACGGGAAGATGAAGAAGCAGAAGTCGATCGTCGACTTCGAGAACGGTGACAATGAGGCTCGACGACTCAAGCGGCTCATGGCCATTGTGCTTTTTGTTTGCAAGTCGGATGCACCTATCCTTCTGTTCGTTTCCCTTGTCCAGTTCATGGCAGAACAGGGGACACCTGATCTGCCCTTGAAGGAACGAGGAACCTACCAGAGCGAGTAAGTGTCCCACGTTTTTAAGGCGAAGCCCTCCTCATCCGAGTTCCTCATTTGCCGGTTATGATATTTGTTTGAACTTACTGTCTATATTTGTGTTACTCCTCCCCTATGGCCTCCGGTGTTACCCAAATGGCAGGTATGGCTTCATCTAGCTCGTCGAGAACCTGGTGGCTTACCTGCGGGCGAAGCAGATGGTCCACATCAAGGCGAGCCCCTTTCTCGGGATCCAGCTCGACGAAAGTACGAACTGGCGCCGAGGGAAGTGCATGATCGTTTACCTTACCTTCCTGCGTGGTACGGAGGTCGCCACAGAGTTCTTTGCGCACCTGACGGTGGAGAAGTGCGACGCCGCCTCCCTGCAAGCCGTGCTTCTGACTCACCTGGAGTCATGTGGGGTCGACCTCAATAAGATCTGCGGAATCAGCACCGACGGCGCCAGCGTGATGACGGGAGCGCAGTTGGGCCTTGTCGCCCGTCTTCGCACTCGGATTCCGTATCTAGTATCATGCCACTGCATCGCTCATAGGTAGCCATTCGCACTCCACCCGTCTTTTATCATGCTGTTTCTCCGCTCTTTGCTAATCATTCCTCCGTGGCCATGCATGCAGGGAGGCCCTAGCCGCTAAGGATGCGACAGAGGACTTTCCCGACCTAGCTGTGGTCGACAAGGTGGTCCGCTCCTTGGCGGATATCCTCGGCCGTTCGATCGTCACCCACAACCGCTTCAAGCAGCTACAGGAGGTGGTGACCGAGACCAACCTCGAGATGCAGGGGATCCATCAGATCCGCTGGCTTTCTCGGGGTGAGGCCATTTAGCGGCTGGTCGAGGTCTTCCCAGCTGCTATCCTCTTGATGTGGGAGTATGATAGTCAGATGTATGCTGTTGTCATTAGCCTGAAGTTCCACTTCCTTCTGTACTTCCTGGCTGACGTCCTCGCGGAGCTAAACACGTTGAATCTGAAGTTCCAGTGTCGACAGGTGCGTCCTTCTTAGCATGATTTCTGTTTACATGCCTGAATACTTTATAATGTTTGCACCCCTCCCCCAGGTCGACGTGACGCAAGTTCTTAGGATGGTGGACAACACCATCCTCATCCTGCGCAGCCGGTACGTCACCTACGACTCGCAGTTCGGCCCGACCTCGGGCGACTTCTTCGAGTTTCTGCAACTTCACGATGGCGGCAAGGACGTTACTATCTCGGGCACAGATGCAAACGGCACTTCTCTCATCCACACGTACCAGCTTCATGAGCGACCGATCGAAGGCCAACAAAGCGGAGGGGACATGGAGTCACTCCAGAAGCTGGCAAGTGCTATAGTGCTGGCGATGATCGGCCATCTGCGCGGCCGATTCCACGACTTGTCCTCCCTCAACGGCACTCGCCTCTACAAGCAGAGTTTGTATCCTCGAACCGCGTCAAGGCGCGAGCGTAACCTGTGGAAGCGCGACCCCACAGCCCCTGACACCATGCCCGGTAAGGCCGCTCCCTCGTCATCGCGTCTATAAGTGGCTGCTCTCTCGCGTGTATAACCATGCTTTCCATTGTTGCCCATTTCTGACTTCTGTTTACCCACCCTTTCGCCGACCCCTCCCCCACCCTCAGGCGTCCATTGGGGCAAGGCCAGGAAGGAACTCACCAGCTTCACCACGATCATGTCAACGCACCATGACGGCCTCGACTTCCACGCTGCCCTAAAGCACATGCTCTCAAGCGACGACTGGAAGATGGCCTACCCCAACATTGTCCTTGTGTGGATTGCTGTCGCCGTGCTGCCTCTGAGTACGGTGGAGTGCGAGCGCGGCTTCAGCCGACAGAATGTTATTAAGAGCTGGCTTCACGAGAACCTCTGCGACGCGCGCCTGAGCGACCTGATGACCATCTCGCTGCTGGAGTACGAGATGGAGTGGGATGAACTAGTGACCATGTGGCGCGGGGGAGTTAAGAAGCGTCGCCCTGCCAAAGAAGTTGTGATGGCACAGGGCTCGAGGCCGACGAAGAAGCCGAAGATGTCCGATGCAGTAAAAGCGGCAAAGGCAGCAGCAGCAGCAGCTCGAGAGGCAGAGGCATTGGCTGCTGCAGAAGCAGCACATGTGTTTGAAGAGGATGCTGCAGCTGGCCCTGTGCGGAGGAGGAAGGGCAAGGGGAAGATGATTGCCATTGAATCTGACTCTGAGGAAGAGGAGGCCCCCGTGGATAGTGACACCGACTCTGACTAAAGGCATCACCATGAGTAGCAAGCAGCCTCAGCAGCAGTAGCAAGCAGCTTCAGCAGCAGTAGCAGGCAGCCTCAGCAGCAGTAGCAGGCAGCCTTAGCAGCAGTAGCAGGCAGCACTAGCAGCAGCAGTAGCGGCATTAGCAGGAGTAGCAGCAAAAGCAGTGCTCTTAGGAGTAGTTTGTGAGCTTAGTTGAGCTCACCTCTGCAATAGGCTGTTTATTATTCCTGATATGGTAGTACCTGATGATTATTCTTTGTATGGTAGGAGCTGCAGTAGTTTGACTTTTGACGTAATGTTCTATGTTGGTAGTATTGATGAACATGTGATACAATCAGGATGCAAAAACGTCTGAATTCTCAGACATGTGCTTGCATTTCGTCTGAATCGTAAGACAAGCAAAAAAAATCCGTCTGACGGTCAGACGAAGCTCTAAGAACCCGTCTGATGTTCAGACTGCCCTAAAAACTAGCAGGAGCCCTGACCATAGGTACTATGTTTTGCCTGTACATATGAAGTACAATTCTTTGTATATACTTTGCTTCACATATTGCTTTTGCTCGCACTGTGCTCCTATCCCATCGAGTGGGTACCCAGATCTACAATGCTGTCGGAAGGGGCATGCATCTCGTACTGGTACCCGTATATCCTTTCCATAGGAAATAGCTCAAATGGGGTAAATGTTCAAGTAGTGTAACATATAATGTCCGTGACCATGTCGAATCCTCTTCATCCTCCTTTGGACGAAGACGTTATTATCGAGAATCTGCACTGACCCTTGCACGAGCCCAAGTCCAGCACTGGCGCGACAATCCCCATGTTCTTCTGTCTGCTCATCACGTGTTATCATTGCATCATCTCTCCACGTCATTCCTGGGCTTCCATGGTGCGTCAGAGGAACTCCCATCCAAGCCTCCATTATTGGTTGAATCTGCGCCGTGCGTTTCTACCTTCAGCGAATCCACGCCCGTTTCGTTCCTCAACCCAACGCTAGCGGCGGTCACGCCGTCATTCTCGAGGGTGGACGGCGGAGAGTTATAGAAATCTCGAGGGCGAACGGCGGAGCGTGTTGAGGCGCGTTGCGACATGTCGTCATTCTCGAGGCTCCACGACAAAGTGGTTTCGCAGCAGCAGAAACAGCAGTGCGTGCCGTTCGTCTCTCGTGGCTGGCTTCTCGCCGCTTCACGTGTGCTAGAGTCTAGCTGCAGACATGCCCTCTTCGCCCGTCGCTGCTGTCCGCCTTTCTTCGTTTTGAGGCGCCTCAAAACTAGACGCTGCTGTCCCCCTTTCTTCGCGTTTTCTGGGGTTTTAAGTTTCCGTTTTTTCTCGTTTCTCATGCACTGCCGCCACCATGTGCTGGGGTTGAGTGTCCCATACCTTTGAGTCGACACTCAAGAGTCAGCTGATCTTCCCCCCTTGACCCCTCGTTATTGTCACTCCCCTTCTCTCGGGCACTACCGCGAGATGCATGCGAGATGCCTAGGAGTCGACAATCAAGAGTCGGCCGATCTTCCCCCTGCAGGCACCATCGTGATCGCGTGCTGGGACTGAATGCCACGTACTGTCGAGTCAACTCACCCCTATCGCCCCTCGTTACTGTCACTTTTACTTCCGCGTTTCAGGCACTACCGCGACCACGTGCTGGGGCTGAATGCGTTTCAGCGGCATCAGAAGTTCGTTAACGACTATGGTCAGTCCACGTCGATAGCTAGGAGAACCAGCTATGGTCCTTTTGATTCGACTCAAAAGTCTTCAGCGACACCAGCATCGCAAAAAAGGTGTGCTCGCAAAACGTTCGCGAATTATCTGTGCGGATGCTTTGCAAACGTTTTGCGAACAAGTGGGTGTAAATACCGTGCGGACTAAGATTCGAACACTTTGCGAATGCTTGGACAACATTTGCCAAAACACTCCGCGCGAGCATTCGGAAACGATGGGCGGTGTTGTCTCGAATGCAATATAGTGTTTCGTCAAATGCATTGCAATGCATATTTTGATGCTGCTTTGGATTTGTATGAAAATGATTTTGTATTCTTGCCATCCATTCTTTTTGTTCTGTTGACCATTGGTGTATCAAATGATGTTATTCATAAAAGTAAATGTACCACCATTACAAACGATATACACAATTTCTACCAGTGGTTACCAACCTAATTACCTAGAAATATGCAAGCCCCCAACAACCTAATAACGTATGCAGCATGCCCGTCCCGCACTACCACGAACAGAAACAGAGCGGCGGCACACCAACGACGTTGCCGACAACGTAAATTCTTGACGCCGACTTGCTATTCCTGCATGTGAAGTAAGAATTCATTTCAAAGTAAGCCCAATGTCCAAATTACCAACATAATAACAATTCTTACTCTGGGAAAGTAGCGCGGCCTTGGTAATAAATTCCTGCGCATCAGGTTCAACCATTTGTTAAATTCCAAACAACCAGACTTTCAACACGAGGCTTACGAGGGGTGCCTCGAGGTTGGCTACAAATCTCTGCACGTCAGCTTAGACATTGTCGTGAAATTAGTCCGACGAATAAACGATTGGCGAGACTAAGAGACGTGCTTACCGGAAGAATAATCTTTATGCTGGACTGAGTTACATGGCTAGCTGCGATAAAGACGAGCATCGTGAGCACACAGGCAAAACATAGTTAGATAGAAACTCCAGTTAACAAATGCCTTCAACCCCGAAGACGTATTAGCTCATGAACCTGCCAATAAGAAGGACAATTGTGAACAACAATAGCCACTTACAAGCTAATTAGTACCAGAAGATTAAAACGATAGAAATAACAGCTATCGCGAAATGACATACTCATGTTATCGTAAACCAAGAACGACCATGGTAACTGGTTAAAGTCTGGCAGAGGAAGAAGCTAATCACTAAGGGGGTGCGAAGGCAAGAGGGGGGGCTGAAACTGATACAGATTGAACTGCCGATGAATAATACTGTAAGAAAAGTCTAGCTGAAAGACATCAGTGGGCGCAAGGGGGCAGATAAGGAAGGATCAGAAGTCTGTGCTGGCAAGGATTGCTGGCATGTGAAGTGTGCAACGTGGTGGGCTGGGTGGTTGGGGCGAGCAGGGGGTTGAGCTGGATTTAGCCGTGGTGGAATCGCTCGGCCGATTTCGATTGGTTGGGCGAGGTGCATGGGCTGAGTTGGTTAGGGAAATTGGGTTGGGATTGGTTGGAACAAAGTGCAGGTATGGTAGGGGGTGGGAGTGTGGTTGGGGCGTGTTTCTATATGCACGTCATGTTGTGAATCGGGGCGTGTTTCCATGTACACAAATATTAAGCAAATATTTCTGGATTTCAGGTTACGCGCGCGCTAGAATACGCTGTAATTTGCGATTCAATTTGGTTCAGTTCGGTATCTCAAAATTTTGTCTAGCTGGATTGGAACCGCGATTCTGTTGGACTACGACCTTATAAGCAGTTGGAAGCAGGGTAGTGAAACCAGCAACAAAACCAATTTTAGATATTACATTTTAAAACATTTAAATATAAAGTAGATACGCACTGCAGATAGTAAGTCATAATCTACACATGTGAAGAGTCGGTTTCGATCCCTGGGAGAACCTCGTTTTTGAGTAATTTTTGCACGTAGCATAGTTGGAAGATCCGAGTTCGAATCTCGAGGGGAACAAAATAAAACCATCTCTTGAAGAGATCAATACCTTACTTTGCACTTGCTGTTTCTACAAAGACATTGCCCAAATTAGAAGTAGTAGTACGTTTACTATCATAAAAATATCATAAACACACAATTCGTTTATTTTAACATTTCAGCTTCCCCGGATCGATGTTATAAACTTTGTACAAGTTTTAGTGTAGACTGACCGATTCTGTATGGAAATATAAGCCATCAGAACAAGATTATTATCAAGGTGTAACATTTACAAAACAACTCATTCGCGAAACAACTCATTCGCGGAAGACTCGCAAACCATTTACGTTAAACGAAACAGGAAAAAAACACTTGGCGAACACCTGGCGGACGATTTCCGACTATGCGGCCAGCTTCGAATGGCGTAAACGATCCGCTAACGTTGCACTTTTTGCGATGAGAAGCTCGTCAACGACTATGGTCAGTCCATCCATCATATGTCAATAATTAGAACATGTTACCTGTAGTTGTTTAGTACGGGCCGCCATCACCTTTTTTGCTCCTGCGACTTCCCTCTACCACACACGCAGTGCCCCTTGCATGCACCCCCTCCTCCTCTCTTCAAGAGCGGGCTATCGGCCAGCCTCTGATGCATCTCGCTGACTTTTGAGTCGACTCAAAGGCCAGACTCTGATGCATCTCGCTGACTTTCGAGTCGACTCAAAGGCCAGACTCTGATGCATCTCGCTGACTTTCGAGTCGACTCAAAGGCCAGACTCTGATGCATCTCGCTGACTTTCGAGTCGACTCAAAGGCCAGACTCTGATGCATCTCGCTGACTTTCGAGTCGACTCAAAGGCCAGCCTCTGATGCATCTCGCTGACTTTCGAGTCGACTCAAAGGCCAGACTCTGATGCATCTCGCTGACTTTCGAGTCGACTCAAAGGCCAGACTCTGATGCATCTCGCTGACTTTCGAGTCGACTCAAAGGCCAGACTCTGATGCATCTCGCTGACTTTCGAGTCGACTCAAAGGCCAGACTCTGATGCATCTCGCTGACTTTCGAGTCGACTCAAAGGCCAGCCTCTGATGCATCTCGCTGACTTTCGAGTCGACTCAAAGGCCAGACTCTGATGCATCTCGCTGACTTTCGAGTCGACTCAAAGGCCAGACTCTGATGCATCTCGCTGACTTTCGAGTCGACTCAAAGGCCAGACTCTGATGCATCTCGCTGACTTTCGAGTCGACTCAAAGGCCAGACTCTGATGCATCTCGCTGACTTTCGAGTCGACTCAAAGGCCAGACTCTGATGCATCTCGCTGACTTTCGAGTCGACTCAAAGGCCAGCCTCTGATGCATCTCGCTGACTTTCGAGTCGACTCAAAGGCCAGACTCTGATGCATCTCGCTGACTTTCGAGTCGACTCAAAGGCCAGACTCTGATGCATCTCGCTGACTTTCGAGTCGACTCAAAGGCCAGACTCTGATGCATCTCGCTGACTTTCGAGTCGACTCAAAGGCCAGACTCTGATGCATCTCGCTGACTTTCGAGTCGACTCAAAGGCCAGACTCTGATGCATCTCGCTGACTTTCGAGTCGACTCAAAGGCCAGACTCTGATGCATCTCGCTGACTTTCGAGTCGACTCAAAGGCCAGACTCTGATGCATCTCGCTGACTTCCTGCGCTGAGTCTGCCGGATGGCATGCAGTCTCTCTGACTTCTCTGCTCGGACTCAAAAGGTGACTTTTGAGTCGACTCAAAAGTCTGCTGTCTCTCTGACTTCTCTGCTCGGACTCTTGGCCCATCGCCTCAGTTGTGTTACTGCTTCTTATCTGGCCACTAGGGTGCTTCGTCTGTATCCGGGGAGGCTATGCCTGCACACGCCACGCCTAGGGGCTCTGCGTGCTCTGCAGCGCCCCTAGAGGCTGTAGCTCTTCCTTGCTGTCATTCACCCTTCCTCCTGCCCTGTTTCAAGTTTCAGCAACTTGAGTCGACCCAAAAGCTTCCTCCTGCCGTGTTTCAGCCACTACTAGAGTGCATGTTCTCCAAACGGGGGCATGGGCCTGCTCTCACGTCAGGCCAAGGGGTTCTGCCTGCTCTGCAGCGCCCCTTTCGGAGCCCCCAACAGCACTGCGCTTCTGCCGCCCTCTTTTGCTCCTCCATACCTGTACTCGGGGAGGGGTGGCACGGGTGGACTTTTGAGTCGACTCAAGAGTCTCTTTGCTCCCCCATACCGGTACCAGGGGAGGGATGGCTAGGGGAGGGTGACGGAGTGGCGGGAGGCTCTGGAACAGTCCTGTGGGCGTAAGTATTGCCCACAGGGCTACACAGGCCTCCACATACGCTCGGATATCTACATGCACATGCACGTGCACTTGAATGCTCCCGCGCATGCACGTGGATGCACATGCACTTACACATGCGTGCAATCCGTGCTTGTGCTTAAAAACACCACCTCCCCGCCCCCCCCACCCCACCCCCCCCCTCACACACACACCACATGTCATGGCTGGCACCCCACCCCGTTTGATTCCATGCCACCTCACCCCACGGCAGTGCGTTTCTACGGTCGCTCGGCATCCTCCAGTGCAGCGCCCTCCTTCAAAACGGACCTTGACGTGCTCAGAGAGAGCTACAGGTATGCCGCAACCCCTCCCCTACATCTCCCCCCAACCCCCCAACCTCCCTCCCTCACGCATGCCTCCCTTGTCCTCCTGGCATCCGCCCGTGCAGCATTTGAGTCGACTCAAAAGCATCCGCCCGTGCAGCATTTGAGTCGACTCAAAAGCATCCGCCCGTGCAGCATTTGAGTCGACTCAAAAGCATCCGCCCGTGCAGCGTCCACGTTCAAAACTGACCTAGACGTGCTCAGAGAGGGCCCTACAGGTATGTGGGGCCCGCTTCCTTGCTTCCCTTGTCCGCAAACTCGGGAGGGCTTCCAGTGGGTGGGCTGGCTGGCCCTCGTTATAACTTCTCCCCATTCCTCTCTTCGTTCTTGTCTCCCCACGTTTCTCTCCCGTTTACCCCCCCCGCCCCTTCCTTCCCCCATTTTGCACCTGCACTCGCTTTCGCCCTCTTTTTTTTTTTGCCTTTCCCTGGGCAAGCCAGGTTCATTCGGTCGGAGGCGGACGATGCAGACGGCACGTGGGAGCAGAGGCTGGCCAAGCGATACTATGACAAGCTGTTTAAAGAGTGAGCAGATCCAAGAAATATTTCTTTATGCAGTAAGCAAACCTGTGGCACCCTGTGAAAGAAGTATGCCGTACCATGCATAGCCTAGTTGCGCCTCACTTCATGATGCCACTTGCGCATCTCGTTCACCACTTCCTAGGGGTTCTTGCAAAACCACTTGCGTTACCAGCAATGCCTGTGTGTCTGTGAGTTTGTGTGCATGCGCCCACGTGTGTGCACATGTGCATGTGGCGTGCGTGTGTCTGTGCATGTGGGTGTGCTTTCTCGTGCATGTGTGTGCATGCGTGTGCATGCGCTTGCCCCATTGTGTGCGTGTGCGTATTGGTGCAGATACTGTGTTGCTGACATGAGCCGATACAAGGAAAACAAGGTACATCTGAATTCATGCTTGCATGCCCATGGTACGTAAATGGTATGCAAATTCACTGTGCGTAGATGCAACTAAATCGTAAAATATATCCATGGGCTATTTCGGGCATGCCCATTAAAACAAGCACTGAAATTCACAATGTACGCTGGGTACATGTAAAGCATTTAACCTGTTCACTTTGTACACAAGGAGAAGAGTGCTTATAAGTTATAAGCCGTGCCCTAATTACATGCGCTCAAAGTGTCCGTTGACTATGCAAGGAGGACAAACTATTATAATCAATCGGTGTGGAGTCTATGTTTCTTTGCTTCGTTTTATATGTTCTATCTGGTTGTTGCTTGTATCCGTTTGGCACATGTTCAGATTGGCTTGCGATGGCGCGCACATGCTGAGGTTCTGCAGGGGAAAGGTGAGGGGAATGGGGACAGGTGAGGGAATTGGGGAAAGATGAGGGAGTTGGGGACAGGTGAGGGAGTTGGGGACAGGTGAGGGAAATGGGGAAAGGTGGTGAAGTGAGCGCATAGAAAATTCAAGTGAGGGGAGAGTGGGTGAGTCGGTGGGCGAGATTTTGAAGCCGTGGCGACAATGCTAAGCGTGTGTAGAGAGCGGCATGGGCCCACCCTGCTACTGCCTCAAAAGCATCTTCCTATTAAAAGCATCTTAGCATCTTCCCTGCAACAACCCATGGTTCCTTAGTCCGCCAGTATTTTACCTACAACTCCTAGCATTTAAAGGGAATAATATTTTGGCACTTAAAAAATATAGTTTCAGGGTTATTGTCCTTTTTGCACTAACGAATGCCTATTTTTTGCTTTTTTCAAAGGCACTGCGCTGCTGAGTGCGCTAATACCCTCTCACGCGTTCACTGCTGTGCTTATGCATACATACTCACTGCTGTATCCTTTGCAGGTCAGTTTGTGTGTGGGACAAAAGGGTGTGACAATAGAGAAGGCCTCCACAGCTATGAGGCACGTCATCCAACCGCATTGTCACCCCTTAATCTCTTTTGTGCGACATCTCTTTTTTTTCGTCATCTCTTTTTTGTATCGCCTCTTTCCCCACGCATTGCACGATCCCTTGGTGCTGTAACGCACAGGCTAGAGTCCTGTGTACCTTTCATATATCTTAAATTGTTCTTTCATCTCGATGCTCCAGCATGTCATCCAAACTTTGGTACCAGTCCAGCATAAGGAGATCTGGGCAGCCAATGGCTACTTATATTTTACCCTTTGTGGCTTCTACACTCGGTTATTCATCATCCCTGTGATTCGCACCACTCGCATTTGGTCATGTCTCTCCATGAGTTTTCACCCTCGCACAACTCTTCTCACCACACATCCCTGCACGTTTTGGGGGAATGGATGCATGTGTGGTCTTGTATGGGCATGCCTGCATGGCGAGCAAGGGCAGGTCAACTTCGCCTACCACGAGGCTGGGCAGAAGAAGCAGGCTCTGGTGAAGCTGAGGGTGTGTGCCAAGTGAGTCTGTCTATGGTATTTCCAGGCATGCTTTCTGGGCATGGCTGCATGTATGTTTGCATGTGCTCCTGAATGGCCGGCAAGGGCAGGTAAACTTCGCTTACCTTGAGGCGGGGCAGAAGAAGCAGGCTCTTGTGAGCTGGGGGTGTGTGCCAAGTGAGCGTAATTTGAGGTGTTTTTTTTTTGTCATCTTTAAAATTATTTCTAGCCAGGTCCGTAGGAGTTGAGCGTGTGTAAGTGGTTCCTCTTCCTGCCAAGGAGCAGCATCGTGTGTCGCAAGGTGACTTTTGAGTCGACTCAAAACTCTTCCTGCCAAGGAGCAGACTTTTGAGTCGACTCAAAACTCTTGCTGCCAAGGAGCAGCATTGTGTGTTTCAGCCGAGCCGTTCGTGTAGCTGTGTGAGCCGAATTTACCCGCTTATTCCCATCGATTCCAGCATTATGAATAGCCTTCTCATTTATTTTCGATAAGTTCTCCAATACTTCAGCTTCGTCGGATTTATGTTACGAGATTTTTCTGATGATTTGTTCTGCACACGCAACAGGGGTTTCTGTAGCAAGTAGTGATCGACCGCTTTTGCTGGGGACGGTCTTTGCTGCTTTTGTTCCCACATGCTTGCACCATCATCACAGCCATCTAGACCGGGTAGTTCCCTTATCACTCTCTGCATACCACTCGTTTCACCTCCACTTTCCAGGCACGCATACCAGCTCAACGACCCCAAGGAGAAGAGAGCTTTTTTTTTGGCGCCTCAATAATAGGCATAGCACCCCACTTCACCTCCACTTTACAGGCACGCATACCAGCTTAACTACCGCAAAGAGAAGGAGCTAGAGAAGAAGCGAGAAGCAGAGCAGCGGGAGCGAGAGAGGGAGGAGCGACGGAGGGCGGAAGACAGGAAGCACAAAGAGAGGAAGAAGCGGAAGAAACGAAGGTACTTCGAATTAAAGTCGCAATGATGGAGATAATGGATGGTACACGTATTCGTTGTGCAGCATATTACATCTTGTAAAGGCTCAAGAGGACATCAACCTATTCTGAGGCACCTTAAGACAAGGATATGTACTAATCACCTGTACTCTTGACTGCTTCAGCCTCATCCGCTTGTCGCATCCTGATCCCCCCTGACATCTTTTACTCTCATTCACTCTATCTTGACGCACTGTCGAGGTGTCTCTGGCAACTTTCACTTTCACTTTCACCAATGCTTTCTCACATGTCCCGATGCTTCTGACCTGGTATTGTCTGTATTCTTCCCTGTGCACCCATGGTTTCTCTTCTTCTCCATCTGCCAATTTTTGCCCATTTCACTGCCATCCCCTCATGCCCGTGTCACCGTATACAGCAGAGGCAGCAGCAGTGACAGCAGGCACAGCAGCAGCAGCAGCGAGACTACTGACAGTAGTGGGGGCAGCAGCAGGGAGAGGCGTGCGGAGAGTGAGAGTGGTGAAGATGACAGTGCCAGTCGGTGTAAGAACCGGAGGAGGAACACAGCAAGAGAGGAGAGGCACAGTGCCTCTGACAGGGAGAGGGACGGAGCTAAGCCAGGGAAGGAGAAGCAGGAGGGGAAAAAGCTGCCTGGCTCTGAGAGAGACAATCCGAGGGCATATGAGCATGAGAGAGGTGGAGCAAGTGGGGCAGGTGAAGGAACAGAGGCTGCGCGAGATGGGGGGCGATGTGGAGAGGCAGGCACAGGAGAATCAGCAGGGGATGGGCGCGGGAGTGCCACCACCCCTGGGAGGGGAGGGGCTGGGCAGACCCTGGGGAGTGGCTGCGGCTTGGCGGCAGGCGTGGAGAGCAGGAATGTCGTGGTTCAAGGTGAGATGGGGGCCTATTTTGAGGCGCCTCAAAAAGGGAGCAGGAATGTCATGGTTCTAGGTAAGAGGCAGGCGGGGGTGACAAGCAAGTTCTTTGAGGTGGGTCTATTGCCACGTTGAATAGCCTTGAGGCGCTTTTGGATTGCCGTCCTGTACCATGGGTTGCCTGACGCCGTTTGCCACCATGCCTAGCAAGAGCATGGAGGTGTGGCAGCAGCCAGCAGTTGGTTTGGTTTGAGCCCATTGTTCTCCTTGTGTCATATTTCTTGCTGCTTTGAACTTCCTGCCCACTACAGGAGGCACCCTGCCTGCCAGTGAGGACGTGTGGCAGCAGCCAGCAGTGACGGTGGAGCCAAGCCGAGAAGAGGAGTTTGATGAGTACTTCCAAGGGATGTTCTTATAGCTGACCGTTGAGTCTTCATTCAGAAGTCACGTGGCAGCAATGACTGGGGTGCCAAGGCAATCAGTTCGATTAGTATTTCCTTGGAATGTTCGTGCAGTGGTTGCATTTACTGGTGCATGCTTGTAATAAGAATACGGGACTGTGATGTGATTGCTGACCCCACTTGATGGTGTGTTGTGTTAGTCAGTTGTGTGGAAGTTCAGCTTAACTTCTGGTGACCAACTACGGCATTTGAAAACATTGTGACCATTGTGCTCAGGGTTTCAGCTAGGATTTAGGGCTGTCTGAGAATCAGACGAGGTTTCAAAGTTTGGTCTGACCATCAGACAAAAAATTTCGAGTGAGAAATCAGACGAAAATTTTGTGCTTGTCTGAAAATTCAGACGAAAAAATTGCGCAAGAATCTTCGTCGCTTGCGATTTCGACCTCGATTTGTTCGTTTCCTGCTAAGAGTGTTTTCTTAGGCCACATTTTGAAGTTTGGCCGACCTTGAAAGTTTGGCCAGCCCACTCGTCACGTCATAATTGCACATGTCAATGTCTAGCCGTGCGATTCGAACTTTGGCCAACCAACCCCTACCAGCCAGATTCCACGCGACGGGGGTCCACGAACAGCTGCGACCAAGGCCGAAACCTGGCTTCTGCAGAATTGGCCAGCCACGCCAAGGAAATGTGACGTCGACCATCTCAGAGTAACGAATTGACTAGAATGGAGGGTACAGGGTGAGTATGTACTAATGTGTTGTACCGTCTAAGAGCATGCACCTATCAAGTCTATAATAACATATGCATGTATGTTTGACACACCCCCTAGGCTAGACAAAGGGCAGTGCCTGGCAAGAGACATGCAGCTCAGGGTAGCACTACTAGTCCAACCTCTGAGTCAAGGGTCAGAAGACAAGCCAAAAGAGCACAAACTAGACAAGAGCAAACTAGGGCGGCACTACTAAACATACATGCATATGTTTATACTATAAAATGTAGTATACAATCAAGGTCCTAGCAAGTGAGAAGCTACTGGAACTAGGCCAAGCTGTACACAGTGCCGCTAATCATCTTTAGGCGCAAGCGCCTTACTAAAGATATCAGCTGTGTTAGCACATGAGGCCAAGTGCACTACGCGGGTCTTGGCGGCGCTGCTGTAGCTCGCGCAGAAGGAAGTACCACAACTGGATGTGCTTCGCTTTGCCCTCAAGTCGAGGCTCCTAACACAGGAGAATCATGGTCATGTTGTCATCGTACAGGACCAGGGCAGAGCTAGGCCGCTCACCTAAGTGAGACAGGATGCTGAGAGGGTATGCGAGATCTGGACGACTACAAATCATCAAGTACATGAGGCAACCCACCAGCTCTGCGTACGGACCAGTAGGCACTACCGGCTCCTTAGGGACTAGAGCAGAGAGCATGTGATCTACTGGTAGAGGTCTGGGCTGTGCGGAGGAGAACTGAGGGCCGAACCTCTTAAGGACCTGGCGCACTAAGTCTGACTGTGTAAGAGTGATGGTGCGCGCTGCTCTGTCCCTGGAGATCTGCAGCCCAAGGTAGCGGCGCCGTTCTCCTAGGTCAGTGCAGATGTGTCTCCTCAGCAGCTCCGCCTTTACCGAGGCCACTGCGTTTTTGTCTGCAGTAGCAAAGACCAGATCGTCTACGTAGACAATGATGTAGAACGGGGTCTGGCCTGAACGAACGAAGAGCGAAGGGTCTGCAGAGGATGGAAATAACTGCAAGTTGGCTAACGTAGCACGCAGCGGGTCATGCCACTCACAGGGCGCCTGCCGCAGGCCGTAAACCAAGCGTCGGAAAAGCCACTGCGTCCCAAGTGCAAGGGGTCGGGATGTCAAGGGCGTCTGGGTCACCCTCAGGGACTAGCAGCATGGAGCAGAGATGGGTAGCGGCCTCGGACAGGAAAGCTTTCTCTTACTGTCTGTCCTCTAGGACGTCAGTGCCAAAGGCAGGAGCACTCCCAATGGACAGAGGACGGGCAGGGTCAAAGACCAGAGTGGTTGCGTAGTTAAGGCGACAGGTAGAGGCAAATTCAGCGACGGTAACGGCAAGAGCGTCAAGACCAGAGATAGGAACAGATGGGCTGGTCACAAGAGAGTCAAGAACGCAAGGAACAAATGGAATGGCAGCACGGAGGAAGTCAGAGAGAGGAGGCGGAGAGACAACAAGCGGCGTCTGAGGAGGCGATGGTAGAAGCGGAGCACGAGATGCGTGAGAGTGGAGCAACATAGGGTGAGAGCGCTGGACAGGAGAAACAAGACGAGCATGAGAGACGCGGTGAGACCACCAGTGAGAGGGGGGGTCGGGTCAGGAGACAAGGGAGGAGACACTGGAGGAGAACGAGGGGGAAAACGAGTCGAGGACGAGTGTGGCAGAGGAAACATAGGGCCGTAGACATGCGGGGGATTCGGCGACGGGGGAGGTGCAGGCGGGTGGTTAGGAGAGGGAAGACCGAGGAGGCGAAGGGCGGACACCGGTGGCAACTGCCGCTACTGCTCCACGCCGACACCAGAACCTCCAGCCGCATCATGGCTATCTCCGGGACGCTACACGAAAACACCCCCAGAACGAGAACCCTCTCCAGCACGGGTGTTACCCCTAGATCTGCCGGGACAAGCCACGACAGTACCCCCAAGACTAGCACCCCTAGAACCAGCATCCCCAGAACGAGAACCCTCTCCAGCACCGGTGCCACCCCCAGGACCGCCGGACGTGACAAAGGCGGTAAGGGTGAGGTCACTTGAGTTTTGGCTAAGGAAGTGGTCGCGGGCAGTGGCGAGACGGTCAGGAAGGAGCGTGGCAATGTGGTACAGGATGGCGCAAAGGGGAGGAGGGAATGCAGCGAGCTGGGCCTCAGTGCTAGCGGCGTGGTAGCTAGTCTCAAGGGCGTGTAGGTCTAGGGCGGAAGCGCGGATGGGTAGGGAGGACCTAACCTAACATGATACCATCTCAGAGTAACGAATTGATTAGAATGGAGGGTACAGGGTGAGTTTGTACTAGAGTGTTGTACCCTCTAAGAGGATGCTCCTATCTAGCCTAGAATAACATATGCATGTATGTTTGACAGACAAAGCCAAGAAAACAGCACCATCCTGCTCGATGGAGGAACAACCATCAAACGACGAATGCTCCACTCTTCTTGATATCCAATCTCGTTTTCTACCCAACCAAACTATCTACCGTTGAACTACTTGGTACTCTGGTTTTAACTCTAGTTTCTATTGGGAATTTGGTGGAAATTTTGCAAGACAACTTTTCCAAAATCCTCCGAAAGTTGGCCGTCAGGAGTCGCTGACAGATGCGACATTTCGGGGGTTTTGTAAAACGTCGTTACATCGTTCACAAACATTATGACTTGGTGCGACACCCATCCGTTCGCAAAAATCTCGCCTGTAACGTAGCACTGCAGTTGGCCAAAGTTCACCTATCACAAATTTTGCCAACCAAAACCCCAAAAATTGGCCAACCCTTCGCTTATGTGGCAAGTCGGATGGCCAAACTTCAACTCAGCCAAAACTTCAGAACACGATCTTACGAAGCACTTCCGAGGCTATCTAATTCCCAGACTCTGCCCTCGCCTAAGAGGGTGCTCAAAGGTTTCCTTGTCAAGCTCAATTCGTTTCAATGTCACATTCTCAAACGTTTCGATTCTGCTCGGGGCATAATCGAACTGTACAGACCCGCGCCTCTCTGGAAAATGTGTGCCTGAGAAGGAGCTTAAAACACGCCCTGTAACAAAAAACAGTCACTAACCACTGAGTTAAAAGGGATTGTTAAAAGCGGGTAAGTGCGCCCATAACCCCTCATGCTCTGCACCTGTGGCCCTTCCCCGAGGATCTTCTCAAGGGCAATCCTAGCGGGTCTCTTGACACCCCCCTTCGCTGGGATAGGCGGAGGACACGAGCACCTCTACAGCGCTGGCACTCAGAATTGAACCTGTGTCACTTACATTCTGATAGCAGGACAGAACTCAATCACTAACCACTGAGTTATAAGGGCTTGTTAATAGCGGATAAGTGCACCCATAACCCTACAGGCTCTGCACCTGTGGCCCTTCCCCGAGTATCTTCTCAAAGGCAACCCCAACGGGTCTCTCGACACCATGAACCTCGACAGTCTAAACCACGTGGAAGACACGAGAGACACTGCACGACACTGTACTTGTACGCTATATCTAGCGTAATTCTGCCGTAATCCCTTAAAGCCAATAGCCTCGCGTGGCTATACGCAGGGTGATTCTATTTTCTAGGAGGGTCTATTCCCTTGGGATAAGATAAACCTGGTCACCTGATGTACTTTGGAAGTATAAAAGCGCCTTGTATCAATCTATAGTGCAACCTTTCCTCGACACATTTGATCATGTGACTAAGACGAGGAATGTCTCGGACAAAAAAATACGCGCTATCTGAATTCTCAGACGAAAGTCTACACCTGGTCTGAACTTTCATACGAAATCTTATGGCTTATCTGGACGATCAGACAAAATAGTTTAGCCCGTAGAAAAAACGGATGAATGGAAAAAAAACAGGTCTGGTTTTCAGACCATCAGACTGATTTCGTCCGATATCTGAGACCCTGATCATGTTACCCAGATAACTGTAACGGTAGCTCATGACACACATCCAGTCAAGGTAGATTGACTTAACAAATACTATCCATATCGAATACTGTTTGTATCGAGTTGCCAGCACACAGCCGAACAAATTACATGCCATATTCGAACAGAGCAAGCTCCCAGATTATTGGAATTTGCTTTGTTCGAGGGGGGCTGTGTGACGCACGCGTTTTTGCACTTCGTGAATTGCGGCACTGTCTTTAGTGTACTGTTCATGGTCGGTGCCCCTGTCGTATGCTGCGACGGGAAGTCGCAGGCGTTCTTGTACATGTTTGTGCGACGCTACATGGGTGGGTTGCGAACCCCAGAACGGAAACCACTCAACACATCATAAACAAGAAACACCAGTTACTTGCAAAAGAATGTACAGCTGTGATTGGCCGATATCCTATCACTAGAGTCGCGAAGCACACTGAAATATCAAAATTGGTGCGGGGAATGCATAACATTGGCTGGACTCAGGGAGTATCTCTAAAACGAATCCTCAAAGGACCTCGCATCTGAATCATGCGGTTGCGCGAAGTGCACAGAATTTGTGTCTGAACTCGATGCGGCGCCGATAGGTTCGTCACGATTATGACACGGGGTCGTGTCTGATGCGAGCTGTGGAACAAGCTACACGTTACATCGCCC